CGTGCACCATTTTGACAAAATTCCCATCCGTTTCGCCCCCCCAAAAATGGAATTATTAAGTAATAATTATCGGTTGGCAGCAGCCGAGCCCTCCCAGCGCCTTGACCTGCCTCAAATAAAGAGATTTCTAATAATAAAGGTGGGTTAAAGTGCTGCGATGTCAGGCCCTAAATGAGGAAGGTGAATTAATTGTGACGGGGTCGTTAACGTTAGACCCCGGGGTTCGCTTGTCCTGGCCTTGCCTGGGGATGTTGCCCCCCAAAATATTCCCTCTCGGGAGTCTTTTGGGGATTTATTCAAGTATGTAGGTTGGGGTTTGGTTTTTTTTTTTTTTCCCTCCTCCACAGCAGGAAATAAAAAATCCACTCCGTGGCAGTGCAAAGTGCTGGGCAATGTGTAATTAAAAATAAAACCAGTAATTTTATCGCAATTAAAGATGTTACAGGAACAACTCCTCTCATTTTTCTCCCCAGCAAACAACTTATTTTTCCCCCCAGCTTTGGAGGGAAATACTTTGGCAATACTGGATTTTTTTTTTCCTAATTTAACTTTATATTTTTATATGTATTTTTTATTATTATTTTACTTAAGGCTGGCTCTACCCTAGCACCCTCTTTTATTTTTTTTCTTTTTTTTATGGGCGAGGTGTGGGTTTGGGGCCGGGAGCTGGGAACGTGACGGCCGGCAGCGCACTGATGGGGGCAGGAATTAAAAAGAAATTTGCTCTCGTAACGAAGAAATCTGATGCGCTGCCGGCTGGGCTTAACTCCCGGCTACTGAAATGGAGCCGGAGACGCGCTCGCTCTGCTTTTCCATCTTAATAACTGCCCCGTTAGATAAATTTGGGTTAGAAATGATTAATTTTTGTTAAGGTAGTTAATTGCAGGAATAACTTGCTGCGCTCTGATGGGCGACACTTAAATCCAGAATTTGTTTTGCAAGGAGAAAAAGGGATTTTTATTGAAGGTAGGGGTGCTGGGAGGTGGGGGGCGAGCTCACCCCTCCGCTCTTAAATTTAATATTTGATATTATTAATGTGGGACATGCTTTCCTGCCCACGGAGCTGGGCTGCTCCGGCTCTTTGCGTGCGAAAACATCTCCTGGGCTCGTCGCAGACGCTCTTGCGGTTGCAACAGTCGGAGGGCTTGTGTCGCCGTCCCCAGCTGACCTTTAAGAAAAAAAAAAAAAATTAAATAATTAAAGAAATAAAACAACGTCACCCTGACACCACTTCCCCTCACCGTGAGTTTTCTCCCACACCTATAATCCCCCAAAATCTTGGCCGATCCCTGCAGTGCTGGTGTTACCCCCTGCTTTTTGGCTGTGAACCCCCCCGCCCCGTTGGTAAACGCTGGCGCTGTGGCACATGCCCTGGCTTTAGGAGTGGGTTTTACCCAGCCCTTGGTGGGTGCGTAAGTTTTTCCTGGGCTGGCAGCCAGGGTGCGGCTGTGTTATCCCAGGCAATGGTTGGATCCGGTTATCCTCACTCCAGCAAGTGTGCAAACAAGTGGGCAACCCCCTCCCCGCAATAACCCCCTGCGTCCGTCCCAGGACAGAACCTCTTGCAATCATCTTCTGGGATGCTCGTTAAAGCCTCGTGGCTAACTTTTATGGGCTCTTTTTAAATATGGATCTTCCTGACTTTCCCTCCCAGGACAAACTTTTTTTAATATTATTTTTTTGTTTTTTAAAGGGATTATTTATTTCCCTGTTCCTTGAGGCAGGCAGCATTCCAAAATCCTTCCACGCTGGAGGAAAAAGAAAAAAAGAAGGGTTAAAAAAAAAAAAAATTGCATTGTAAAGGCAAACACAGGCCGCTGGGGGCTTGGGGGGAGCTGCTGTCACCCCACGGGCCAGTGTCTCCTCCAAGTGTCCCAGCTTCTGTATTTGAGCGGTGAAGGAAGCAGGAAGCAGCAAAAAACCCCCTGAATTTATTAAAATTACAAGCGCTGTGCTCCCTTTCCTCTAAGTTACTAGAGGGGGAAAAAAAAAACAGGTGTGTTATATATCTGCAGGCTGTAAATAAGTTTATTGCATAAAAGCAGTGAGGGGAAGGACGTTGTGGGGTTGGTTTTTTTTTCCCCCCTAAACTCCAAATAAAGCTGCTGTTTTCTGCAAGTAGTTTAAAAAAAAAAAACCAAACAAAAAAAACAACAAACAAACCAGCAACCATGCGACAAAACCCATGTGTGGTTTTGTGGAGTTTCCCATGCAAGGCTGTCCTGAAAAATCAACTTCCCCCCCTCCCTCCCCCCACACCGAACTCGCCATCTTAAGCCTTTCCTTTAATGGCGAAGTTGAAGCCAAGAGGCTCCCGGATCGGGCCGGGCAGCGTGTTTGGAGCTGACTCACAGTGACCCTGCCTGGGCAGAGCCTCCAAAAATGCCGGCAGCCTTCCTACCAGCGCAGTCCCTTCGCCTCTTTGAGCTGCTGGGGTTTAATAAGAATATGAGGGGGTTTTGCTAGACATCAAAGATACTAAAGTTTTGGGGTTTGTTTTTATTTTTCTGGAGGTTAAAATAGCAAAAGTAACTTTATTTTTTGTTTGTGGGGTAGTGGCTGGTGCGGGAGCATGGCTCATGTCGTGATGCGTCCCCATCCCTGCAGCACGGTGCTGCTGTGACTCACACGGCGCGCCTGCCCGACATGGAAGATCACCCGGCAGCTTTCCTGGGGCGGGCAAGCCGGACTTTAGCAATGGAAAGTAAAAATCGCTGCCCCAAAAAGCAAAGAAAGATCATCTAAAACCCCATAAACACCCCAAAACAAAAATATAATTCCCCCAAACCACCCGAAGGCCAAAAAACCCTCATTTTTTTAAAAACATTTATTCTAGCACGGGTTGCTTTTGGCCTTCCTGCTCTTGCCTCCTGCAGTTTTGCAGAGCAGGCAGATGGATGGGGTTGGAGTCAGGGTTTCAGATTTTTTTGGGGCTTTTTCCTTGGTTTTCTGGGATGCCAGCAACTTTCCAGCCTGTCTTTGCCCTCCCAAGCGGGGCATTTTCTTCTTGGGATGAGTTTATTCAGAGGCGCTGAACAAAACCAAGTGCCAACACCTCCCTGATGGGTTGTATTGGGGCCAAGCCTAATTAATGAGCTTCATTAACAGGGCTGGCTTTATTCCCTGTTGCTTTTTCCCTGCAAACTTTAGCGCGGGGAGAGACAGCTTGGCCGGAGAGGCGAGGTCAACGAGCAGCACCTATTTATATTTATTATTTATTAAAAAAAAAAAGATGCTTCTTAAATAAGAAAATACCCTTTTTTTGGTGTGTTTTCTTTGCAGTCAGCCCTCCTGATCGAGGGCTTGCATTTAGGTGGGGTCTGACTGACCCCAATCCCTTGGGAATATTAATCCGAGATGCTGGAGGAGCATCCCTGCATTGGGGTGATGCACCGGTACTTGGGATAACCGGGGAGAGCCCAGCCCCCCAAATTAAAGGGCTTATAAATTTCACGTGGATCATCCCAAAGCTGATTAACTGGGAATGTCGGATCCCGGTTCTTGGAGCTGAGCGCAGGGAAAATCTGCCTGGGATAATTGGGCTGTTAACGAAGGTGGCCCAAGCGCTGGCCTGCCCTGACCCTGCTCCCAAACAAGGCTCTGATTGTCGCTCCAGCTTAAGCCAGGAGGAAGAGGAGGCGGGTGAAGGGCTTGCCAAATAGTTGGGATTTTGCTTAGCGACTGTTAATTAGGCGCCGAGGCAAAAACTTCATTAACGGCGGCTGTTCAGGGCATCCTTGCGCCGGTGCTGGGACGATGCTTGGCCAGCCAGTGGCATCACCACGGTGTCCCCAAAAGCGTCTTGTCCTGGCGTGTTGCCTGCGTGTCACGTGGAGCCCTCAGAAGGGACCCTGCGAGCCCAGATAAAACCTCCTGCCCAAGTCTAGAAGCAAAAAATTCCTGGAATCCCCAAACAGTATTTCTTAATTTTTTTTTCCCACTAGCCCATGTGGATGCTGTTTAAAAAAAAAAAAAAAAAAAAAAAAAAAAAAAAAAAAAAAAAAAAAAAAAGCGCGAGTTTTCTCTTTTATCACACATATTCATGCTCACAACCTTACAAGCAGCCTTCATCCTCCCGCTGCTCCCCGGGATGCCTCTCTCACAGGGGGTGCATAGCTGGGACCCCGAGTTTAACCCTTTTGTTTGTTGCCTTCCCCCTTTCCCTGCAGATGACGGCTCGCCTCATGCTCGCCGTGGGAGGAGCGGTGCTGGGTTCCTTGCAATTCGGCTACAACACCGGTGTCATCAACGCCCCGCAGAAGGTGAGCGTGCGCCGAGCAACCTTGCCGTGGCAAAATTCCACCCTCCCCAACCCCCCCGTGCCCGAAAACAAACCTGCATGCGCTGCCAGCCTGGCTAAAATAGTACATCCCGCTAGGCAGCTTACTGCCTGTAATGGGATTTGCAAGGGAGTTACTTAGCTCCTGCCTTCCCAGGAGAATTAGTTCCCTCCTCGCTTAGTGTTTTTGCCGGGAAAAATCTCAGGAACGCGTGCAGGATGCTCTCTGGGTGGGACCGGCGTAACTTTTAACCTCAGCTTTTAGCAGAGGTCTGGGAGCTAATTAGGGTTTGAGTCATCTCCAAGCAGGGGAATGACCGCGCTGGTTGTGTCCTGCAGCATCGGGGCAGGACTTCTCTGGGAGGAGAGAGGGGTCCTGGGACGGGATGGAGAGCAGGAAGTGTTCGCTCCTTCCCCTAGTGTAGTGCCAGTGGGTACATGGGAGCCTTGAAAAACTGGACTTCCCCCAAATTATGTGGCTATTTGAGGTGTTAAAGGCTCAGAAACCCCACGCGGTGCTCAGGTGCCGAAGGAGAAACAGGGTCCAGCTGCTGCCGCATGGGAGCAGAGCCTGTCCCCGAGCATCATCACAGCCTCTGGTGCGCCATCCCAAATAATTAAAACCACCAAGGCAGGATTCACGCCGCGAGGTTTTTAATCCCATTATCAGCCAGTGGGCTGCAAAACCTCACCTCGAGCTCTGAAAAAACTCTGTGGGAGAGAAGACCCCGTGCAACACTTCCCAGACCCCCATCAGTGTGGAAAGAGCAATAAAGATGCAAATTGCCTTTATTCGAGGTATTGCATTGCATTTAATCACGGTGAGTGGCCCATGCGGGATTTCACATGGCTGGAGGCTGTGACTCCTGTCCAGTGTCCTCTGTGCTGGCACCCACGGCCACGGTGCACCCGTCCATCTGCCGGAAGCATCGCCCTGCTAAAAAAATCTTGACCTGGCCTTCCCCTGGGCTGATCCACGCTGGCAGCGTTTGGCTGAGCATCCTTGTCCAGAGACGGGCGATGGGAGTGGTGTTTGAAACAGCGGTGAGCTGGGAAATCCCTGCAAGCGTGCTGAGGAGCTGCTGTGAGGCATCTGCCCTTCTGTTTCCCTGAGCTCTGGCACCGTGGGGAGCAGGTACTCCGTAATTACTGCCTGGCATCGGAGCTCGGCCCCTGCGTCCCGAGGACGTGCATGGTTTCCCCAGGGACTTTTCTCCATCCTCCCCTGATGCGGGGCAATGCTGCTTGGGGTGACGTGGGCAGGGACCCTGTCTGAGCTGGGGTCTCCCCTGGGGACTGAGCTCCCATTCCTGCAGACCCCCAGCACAGCAAGACACCCCCTCTGCTCTGAGGGGTGTTGCCTCAGTTTCCCCTCGTGTGTTTTAGGATTAAATCTTCGGGGCTCAGGCCAGGGATGGGCTGTGTGTTTTAGGGGCGAGTCACCCAGCAAGTGACACTGCGTTCGGGGTACAGAACTAATGGGGGGAAAGGATTTGGGGTGCTCTATTGGGTGGTGCGAGGGGAGGCAGGGTGGGTGTTGTCTTGGGTAGCGGGAGGCTCTGGGCACGGGGACTCATCCTGCCTTTAAGGGTGGGGACGCGTTGGGGTGCAGGATGGGCATGCATCAGGGTTGGAATGGTGATGTGTTGGGGTGCAGGATGGGGGTGCATCAGGATTGGAATGCATCAGTGCACAGGGTTGGGATGGGGCTGCATTGGGGTGCAGGATGAGGATGCATGGGAATAAATTGGGGTGCAGGACAGGGGTTAGGATGCAGGATGGGGATGCATGGGGGTGCAGGATTGGGATAGGGATGCATGAGGGTGCAGGGTGAGAATGCATCAGGATAAATTGGGATGCAGGGTTGGGATGTAAGATTTGGATGCATGGGGATGCAGGATTAGGATGGGGCTGCATGGGGGTGCGTGGGGATAAATTGGGGTGCAAGATTGGGGTTGGGATGCAGGGGGAGATGTATGGGGGTGCAGGATTGGGACTGGGATACATGGGGGTGTGGGACTGGGATGAATCATTCCCCTGGCTTCAGTGATGCGAGCGCAGCAGCGGTTGCTGGCAGTGGCTCCCTGCAGAAAGGCTCCTTTCTCAGGCGGGGGGTGCTGAGCACCGGTTCCACAGTCCTCTTAATGTTCTCCTCCCCGCTGCTGAAACAGTGGCTCGGTGCTTTGTGGGGTGCTTGCGGATGTGATGCGGAGGGGACGGCCTGAAACTGGGCGAGGGCTGGTAGGAAACACTCAGCTGAAATGAAATGAGGGCGGGGGGCAACCCCTGAACTTTTGCAATGTGCAGTGATTTTTTTCCCCCATGCTTCTTAGTTGAAACTGATAATTTTTCATCTTCTCCTCTCCCAACAACCGGCTCGTGGTGGGTTTTTCCATCTATCCTTTGTTGCAAGGGGGCCAGGAGGGGGGTATTTGGGTGCTAGTTTTTGATAAACTGTCGCTTGGATTATTTTTTTTTCTGCTTCAAGGGGAGGGAGAGAGCTGGAGGCTTCTGAAGAAGGTAGGGAGGAATTTAGAGCCCAGCAAGGTTCGGTGGGGTGTGTGCAGAGACTGTGTACCTGCACCGAGAGCCTGAGCCAGTCCTGGGTTCTCCAAATCATAACAATATCAATTATTTGTTTTCTTAGGAAAAGGGGAAAAAGCCCCCAGAGCATCAAAACCTCCAGGTGAAGCCGGAGGCAAACGAAGTCACTTAAAACCCTGATGGTTTAGGGCCTTTGTAAAAGGAACAACAAAAAAAATTATGTTACTGTAATTTATAGCAACGCACGTGGCAGGGGCTGTGTTTCTTGCACTGCTGCTCCCAGGGGCTCTCTTCTGTGCTTGAAGCGATGGGAAAACTGGGAAACGAAGCGCAATTGTGCCAACGCTTAATGGAGAGCTGAGCACATGTGAAAGCCTTCAAAGCGGCGAGGTCTTTGAGCTGCTGGAGTGGCCGCAGCTTCCCCTGCTTGCACGAAATCTCTGCGCCTTCCAGCCAGGGTTGGTTGGTCGTGTTGTGGAGCCCTTTGCTTTTTTGTTTTGGGTATGGGTGACCCTTAACTAAGTGACTTGAAGCTTTCAGCTGTGGGCTGGCTTTAAAAATACGTTAAAAAAAAATACATGAGATACATAAAAAAGGGTGTTCTGTGAAGAGGGTGATTAAAAACAAGCACCTGTCCTTGTCAGCGTCGCAGAAGCATTGCCGTGTTGCAGAATTACAGCGGCAGTATTGCGTTACAGAAGTATTGCAGGAAAAAAACCCCTAGAAACTAAATTCAGGGGGATGGGAGTTGATCAGCTGCCCTGCTGTCTTCCTCACCTTCCGCCACCATCTCTGCCGTCTCCCCCCTCCCTGTGTTGCTTCTCCTCCGGCGATGGAGGCATCCCTCCCTGCCTCCTGTGCCCTGGGGAGGAGTGTGACCTCCCCACAGTCGCCCTGTGTTGTCAGGGACGAGACCAGAACCTGTCCTGCTGCATTTCCCTCACACATCCCATCAGGTTTCCTCCCCTGGGTTGGAGCCGAGCCACCAGCTGGGCGGCTCCCGGCTCCATGACGCATTGTCTTGTGAGCCGGGCTCGCTGGCCAAGGGTCTGTAGGTGGCCGGGCAACTGGTAACACTGTTGGCACAGATGAAATGGGGATGGTTTTAACCCGTGGCTTCATTTCTCCCACCCCTTTCCCAGGTGATTGAGGACTTCTACAACCGTACCTGGCTGTACCGATATGAGGAGCCCATCAGCCCTGCCACCCTCACCACGCTCTGGTCCCTCTCTGTTGCCATCTTCTCCGTCGGAGGCATGATTGGATCCTTTTCCGTGGGGCTCTTTGTCAATCGCTTTGGACGGTGAGCACCAAGCATGGGGGAGCTGTGGTGGACCTCAACAAGGGGGTTGTGCAGCCTCACCCCACTCTGGCATCCCGTGGGTGTGGCTTTGGGCACCTCCCTCCTGTCAAGAGCTGATGTTTGGGTTCTCCCGACACCCTTTCAGCCTCTCTGACCCCCATGGTCCTCATCGCCCTCCGCCCTTCTCTCCCCAGCCGCAACTCCATGCTGATGTCCAATATTCTCGCCTTTGTGTCCGCCGTCCTCATGGGCTTCTCCAAGATGGCTTTCTCCTTCGAGATGCTCATCCTCGGCCGCTTCATCATTGGCCTCTACTCTGGCCTCACCACCGGTTTTGTGCCCATGTATGTGGGCGAGGTGTCACCCACTGCCCTGCGGGGCGCGCTGGGGACCTTCCACCAGCTTGGCATCGTCTTGGGCATCCTCATCGCCCAAGTAAGTGCCAGAGAACCAGCCAGAGGGGGGTTCCCCATCTTTGACGCTGATGCTCATCAGGGTCTACAGGGGACGGGGTTTGGTGCAGCAGCGCAGGGCATTGCCCATGCAGTGGATCTGCTCCTTCAGAAGGAGACAGGGCTGGAGGGGTGGACCTGGAGCTCAGCAGGAGCAGGGCTGCTGTGAGATCTTGACGCTTGGGGTAGGCAGCATCGTGATGTGATGTCCATTGGCTGCCTGGAAGCAACACGGCTGTCTGTGTCCCTCTGATGGGTGCCCAAGCATGTAATGCAGCCACGAGCTGCAGAGTTGGGTCCAACTTGAGCTGGGAACAGGTGGCTCCAACCCCTCTTCTCCTCAGGTGTTTGGTTTGGACTTGATCATGGGAAATGACTCACTCTGGCCACTGCTCCTGGGGTTCATCTTTGTCCCAGCCCTGCTGCAGTGCATCATCCTGCCCTTTGCCCCTGAGAGCCCCCGCTTCCTCCTCATCAACCGCAATGAGGAGAATAAAGCCAAGAGTGGTGAGTGATCCCCCTGTCCCCGAGCTTGTCCTGCTGTGCCGGAGGGTCCTCAGCTGCTCCTCACTCCACTTCTCTCCCCTCAGTCCTCAAGAAGCTGCGGGGCACGACGGACGTCAGCAGTGACCTCCAGGAGATGAAGGAGGAGAGCCGGCAAATGATGAGGGAGAAGAAGGTCACCATAATGGAGCTCTTCCGTTCCCCCATGTATCGCCAGCCCATCCTCATCGCCATCGTCCTGCAGCTGTCCCAACAGCTCTCGGGGATCAACGCGGTGAGTTCTGCGGGGACCTGGGTGCCGTGTGTCAGCTTGTTTCACCCAGAATGTGGGTTGTGCTGGCTCCAAGACCTGACTCCTTTCCTCATGGCACATCCCTGCCCTTTGTAGGTCTTCTACTACTCCACCAGCATCTTCGAGAAGGCGGGTGTGGAGCAGCCTGTCTACGCCACCATTGGCTCTGGCGTGGTGAACACGGCTTTCACGGTTGTTTCGGTGAGTTTTGGCCCACCAGGCTCTCCTCGGGGAAGCTTTTCCTCCAGGCTGGGGTTGTGCTGATGGACGCCCATCTCTATCCTACAGCTCTTTGTGGTGGAACGAGCTGGACGCAGGACCCTCCACCTCATCGGCCTGGCGGGGATGGCGGGGTGCGCGGTGCTCATGACCATTGCCCTGACGCTGCTGGTGAGTGGTGGGCATTGAGGGGATGGGTGGGCTGGGCGGGGAGGTCCTGCCCCTTGCTGTGGTGGCTTGGACGAGGAGGAGGTCTGGATGGAGAGGAGGAAGGACTTGGCTTCCTAGAGGTGATGGCTGAGTGGTCCCTGCTGCCCGGATCTCTCCTGAGGTCCCAGCAATCCAGTCTCTGACCTGGAGAAACCTTGTGGCTTCTCTGCCAGCACCACGCTTACTTGAGTCTCATCATCTAGCACGGCTGGATGCTTTGTCCCCCATCACCGGACTGACCTTCTCTCTCTCCCTTGGACCAGGACCAAATGCCCTGGATGTCCTACCTCAGCATCGTGGCCATCTTCGGGTTCGTGGCCTTCTTTGAGATCGGCCCAGGCCCCATCCCCTGGTTTATTGTGGCAGAACTTTTCAGCCAAGGCCCTCGCCCTGCTGCCTTTGCTGTTGCCGGGCTGTCCAACTGGACCTCGAACTTCATCGTGGGCATGGGCTTCCAGTATGTCGAGGTAATTGATCATCTCCTGGTGCTCTTGGTGGGAGCAAGGCCTTTCTTTGCGCTCCTTGGGTTGCGCGACTCCTCTGGAGCCCTAAAACCCGGACTGCGATGGTTTGGTTGGGTGAACGCCCCGAGGTAAGAGGGAGGGGGCCAGGATCTAGGGAAGGAACAGGGTGTTGGCCAGGCCCTAGTGCGTGGTGGCTGGTGGGGGCGCAGCACTCACCAGACCATCCTGTGCCTGACGTCCTGGCCCCGCTGCTGGAGCACCCTCTCCATCCACGTGCTTATCCCTTTCTCCTCTTTCCTCCTCCCCAGCAACTCTGTGGCTCCTACGTCTTCATCATCTTCACGGTGCTGCTAGTCCTCTTCTTCATCTTCACCTACTTCAAGGTGCCGGAGACGAAGGGTCGGACCTTTGACGAAATCGCCTCGGGTTTCCGTCAGGGGGGAGCGAGCCAGAGTGACAAAACCCCAGATGAGTTTCACAGCTTGGGCGCCGACTCCCAGGTGTAACCCACCCGTGGCACCGCCCGCTCCTCCCGCCCGCCCGAGGTCCTTGGGGGTTGTTTTTTTAAAACAC